TTCAGAGAATACTTAATTTCTATTGCTTAGTTGTTGCTATAGAGTAGAAAATTTGCTGCATATCTACCTGTGGTATTATAAAATTAGCCATATCTATCAGGCATTCTGTATCTTCTTATGTAAATTTTATATTTCTAATACTTTTGTGTCTGTGGGTGGGTAGCCTTATGGAACTCATACAGTCTTCATGAAGCCTTGGGGCTTGAGCAGAAATAACCAGTGTTGACCAGAAGGATGGGAAAAATAAAGGAAGCCAGGGGAAGCAGGGGCCTAGAAAGCAGAGCTGCAGGTGTCTGAAAAGACTGTGATGGATAGGACGTGTCTCGATTAATAGTAGCCTGACTCTGCTTCAGAAGGACTTGATTTTGTGCAGAGGTTCCTGTCACAAGTGAAGAAGAAAGGAAGGGACACTGGCCAGGCAGCTCCGTCCACCAGATCACAGGGGTTAGAGGTGGGGGGTGGTCAGAGAAGCCTGATAACTGGAGAGGACACAGGAAATGAGGGAGAAGGGGGTCTGCTTAGGGGACCGCCTGGCCAGTGAAACTTTTAGGCCACATGGGTTTCCAGTAAGTCTGGAAATACGGAGAAGGGAGGAAAGAGCTGTAAATCAGAGTTTAAATATTGCCAGGTGTTTGCCCTGACACGTGAGAGGGAATTCTGGTTGTTTTTTGTTTGTTTGTTTCAGGTAAATAAGCAATTTGGACCTTATATGGGGTTAATATGAATACTCATTAAACCTTTTAGAAGAAGGCAATATACAGAGTACTCTTCTGGAGACTGAGTAGTATTACAAACCCCATAAGTAGGTTAAAATGTAGTACTCCGTTCTTTAAAAGCATGCCATTTGTCTTTGAAATGTATATAACCATGATTTCCAAATTGATAGATGGTGCAAAACTAATTTTTGCATAATATGTACAAGTCATTTAAGAAGAACCTAAATTATAAATAGAGCGAATAATATGCTTTTTGTTTTCAGTAATTTTGGAATATTTGATTAACATTAAATTAAAACATCAATAATTTGCATTCCTTGTATGGTTTTCAAACCATAAATGGCATTTGAAAGTTTCAGGCTAGCACAGAAGCTTCATGAAAGATCTGTACTTAGTATTATTTTGCTGTCATGTAGATTTAATTACTCACTGGATAGTGAGTTAAAAGAATAAAAAGGAACAAGGTTGACTGGATTCTTTTGAGCTCACTATTTACGCTTTTTGCCTTTCTTCTTTTGAATATTTTTACAGCTTCAAAATAAATGAGGCTTTATGGTAATACTTAAATATTTTGTATCTGTTTTCATTTTCATAGACTAGGCAGTGTCAAATGTTACTGAGTCTTATGATGTCAAAATCAGGTTAAACAGACTGTTCTTTAGGTTTTATTCTAATAATAACCTTGCAAAATTATTTCTTTCATGCTTTTAACTACTGGCCTTGCATTCTTTATTAAAAGGAACAGAACAATTTAAACGTGTTTTCCTCAGTCAGCATAGTTTTTACTTTTTCATATGTTTATTTTTAAAACTAAACTTGAATTAACCTTACAGAAAGTAGAGCAAGTCAATATTTTCCTGATGTTAGCCAGCAGATATTTGCCTCCAGAATAACGTCCTGAATTATGACATTATTTTGTAGGCAAACGACATTATTCATTTGGAGGTGAATGAGATGGGATTATGTTTCACAGATAAAAAAGAAAATAATTGATGTAATGATTACTCATTTAGATTGGGAGAATTTATGCTTTTTTCTTTAAAAAATGGTCTTAAAGATCTATTATTTTTGTAGACTTCACAGTACTTCCAATGCAGAGGTATTCAAATTATTTACACAAATTGCATGACCCTGTCATTTTTCAACAAGTTAAACATATCTGATAAAGCTAATTTACATTTTTATTCAGATTCAAGGGACAGTTTGGGATCACAGTTTGTGCTTTAATATGCATTTTATTTTAATCCCTGATTAGTTTTGAACTTTTTAAAACAAATTTGAGCAGGCAGGATTTTAGAGCTGTAAAACATACTTGGCTTTTTTCCAAAATAAAAATTTTAATTTTTTTAAAGCCAAAGCCCCATCTGCTGTTTTTTATTAAAATCTCAAGAGTTGTTCATATTGCCAAGAGCAGTTCTTTGAATACAATTTGATCTTTAATCCAGCAATGATATGTGATTTTCAAGGTCATTTTTTGTTAGGATAGAAGGAAAGTCAGACGGAAGATTAATATACTCAAATGCTGATGAAATTTAAAATTTAATAATGGCTTAAGTAGATTTTATTACAGAGCTTTAAATACCAAAAATTCACATCATTATTTCTACTTAAAAATTAGATTTTAGAAACTGAAACAAATATAGCTCTAGTTAGCTTTTTGAGAAAATGAATTCTTATGGAATAAAGTTAAAAAGAATATTCTTATTTGGTTTCCAAAGTATTTATTCATTTGGTGAGGGAGGGAAGAGTGGATTTGCTTTCCTATGTTTGCTTAGCCTAATATGAAAAAATTGCACCTCCTTAATATTTGAGAGGTTAGTAGGAAGGTAGGTGTCAATACACATGATGGATTGGACTCCGAGATAAAACCTGGACATGAAAATAATTTCAAAATATGTGCATGGATAATTAATACCCAACTATATAAATGATACTATAATAATAAAAACTTGGCTTTTAGAAAGTCAACGAGGACTTCAAATCATAGTTTTGAGGCTTTGTGAGCTCCTCATCATTAGCATGAAAATTCATGTTCCTCGCTGTGGCATATGGGGTCCATCCTCTACCTGCTTCTGCCTTTTCCTCCATCTTCTTCTCTGACTGCTGCCTCGCCTGACCCTGACTCTTCAGCCATATCACCTCTCTTGGAACGGCCCAACTAGCCTGCCTCTGTCCTGCTGTTCACTTTGCCTGGCACAAGCTCTTCTCTACAAACTTTCTCTACTCTTCCTTCTACCCCAAGGCAAATGCGTGCCTTTCCCCTCCCATAGCTCCAGTTTTGTTACTCCACTTTCCCTGTAACACTGAAATTCCCATGAGCTAGAACTAGGACTGAGGCCTGCTTATCTCTGTTCCCAGGACCTGGCAAGCAGTAGGTGCTGCTGAGTTAAATATGGGAACGATCCAGCTGAACCAACGAAGCCCACTTCCTGCTTTACTGTTCCACCAGAAAATGCTGCAGTCCTCCTTCCTGTCCACCAGAGGGTGCTGAGCAAAGAATGCCCTTCTGGAAAATTGAAGCCATCACATACTTGAAGGGCAGTATGAACTGTGGGGCTTAAATCAGGATGACTTATTCCCATCTTTGAAGTTAAATTAAACCATTAGTCTAAGCCAGTGATTACTTTCCCTGACCCCTAAGGATAGTTGTACAGATCTGGCAACTTTCCTGGTGTTTTATGAGTGAAAACCTCGGGTTGTTTCTACACTTCAGTGGTTCCCACAGTTAGATGCAGTTCCAAATGGAATTGATTTTTTAAAAACAAACAAATTAGTTTTGTAAGTCCATGTTCTGCTCATTTAATTGTATTAAATTTACACATAACATTTGAAACATTTCATTCTAATTTATCTGATAAGAATCCAATATACATCAACCATAAAAGTACAAGCCAAAAAAACCCAGTCATCTAACAAATGTAATTTCACCTTAGGAACTGAAATATATCGTGAAGATCGTCTTCTTTATTCTCATCCCAATTACTTTAGCCCACAAAGAAATTTCTACTTTCTTATTTCTATGAAACTATTTTCCATACCACACGTACAGGCACTGCTTTGCCTTGCCATATATTCTTGCAGGTGATGTGTTCAGGGAAATTAGGATCCATTGTTTAACCTCATATTTCCTTCTTAGAACCTAGGTCATTGCTGTATTTAAGAGGTTCTCAATAGATGTGGACTGACTGACTGAATGCATCCTGGGTTCTTTACGTGAGGACTTTTTGGACCTCTTGTAGCTCTCTCTTGGTCCCTTAACATCCGCCCAGTAGGCTTCACATCTAGATCCCTAACATGGTGAGCTCTAACCCCACCCCAGGCTTCCCTTGCTGCTCCCTCTTCTCAGCTGTACAGTCAATTCTGTGCTGCTGCTTCAAAACCTGCCTTCTCCTCAGCTGCCCATAGGACACTGTGCTTTACTGTTCTCTGCTTCTATTCTGCAGTGAAGCAGAGGGGTAAACATTTCTGATAAAGCAGTTTTATGTGTTTAACACAATGTTTCTTTATGTACACCTTTACATCTAATTTCTCAAGGTAAAGCAAAGCTAATAAGGTATTTTCTACATTCCTTAATTATATTCTCCCCACACCCCTTTCTAGCAGGTCTTCTACTGGCTAGATCACAAAGCAACCAAGATTGTGTTGATTAGTTATTGGGAAGAGATAGAAAATGTTGGTTAATTCAACATTTTTGGAATACCTATTGTGCACAAAACATAGCATAGGTGTTATGGAAAATTAAACGGTGAACAAGGTAAAAAAAGCTTGTGTTCTGGGGAAGAAAGGGCTAACCTATACCCTAATAATGATAGTGTTTGCCGAATGTGGTAAGTACATAATGATAGAAGTATAAAGAGAATGCTCTGTGAGGTAGACAAGGGGGAAGTAGGTTAGAGCTGAATTATCAGGGAGGTGATTGCAGGGACTTGTCACTGGAGGAAGAAGACAGACAGAGCACAGTGGATGTATCTTTATGCATTTGTTTCCCAATTAATATTCTAGTTAAATTTTCTCTAAAGGTCTTTCACTTATAAAAAGGCATGTTAGAAGTCCACAAGATAATTATCACACTTGTATTTATCCCGTAGTTAATATATTGGTTGTTTTGTGATAAATAATGGCCTTTTCTTCTTGTATTCATTTCTTGACAAAGCCCTTTAAATTAGTATAATGCACATGCTTAATAAATAATTAGATAATAAGAAAGGATGGCTGGTTTCAATAGGCTTTGCAGTACTTCCAAAGATGTTTAATATATATTTCATTTTATCCGTGCTTTTTTAGGCAGCTTGGATTTTAAAGGCACGAGCACTCACTGAAATGGTATACGTTGATGAAATTGACGTAGATCGGGAAGGAATTGCAGAAATGATACTGGATGAGAATGCCATTGCTCAAGTTCCACGTAAGTGTTGGTTTTTCAGTTAAATGGAATGCCATTAGGAGGAGGAAATCTTGTGTTTATTTTATACGTGAGAAAACACTACCTCAAGTAAATGGTCTCTGTCTTACAGTACAAAGACTTTCCTTTCGCAGTTCAATTATATTGTTTTTAAACTTAAGGTGTGAGATTGATGTATAACAATTTTCAATAAAAGCTGTATTTTTTCATTTAAAAATATGTTATAAAATGTATTCTATGTGGACTGCTTATCTGATATATCAGAAGGTTGTTTAATTTGAGAGTCTAAGCACAGGAAACATCCAAATAGCAAGAATGTTCTTAAAGGTTTATAAAAAATGATCTTCCAAAAAGCTCACTTTATTTTAATAATGGGAGACAATTTACTCTAATCATGATGTGAAGTGATGGGGTGATATGTTGGGCTGTGAATGCCTGTCAGGATTGTCACAGAAGCCTAGTTCCCAGCTTGCAGGTGAGCAGGTGCAAATGGTATTGGGTGATTACCATATGGTGATCTTGCTAGAAATTTATTAGTTATGACAATTATCAGTCATTTGTATTTTTGGAAGGTAATCACTATTTTAAAGCTTCAGATGGAAATTGAGAAAAACATGTTTAATGTTAATACATTTTTCCCCATCATTTTGCTCTTTGTGAGTTAAAATATCTAAATTCTAGATAGTATGGTAAGTGATCTTTTATTGGGGGAAGTTTGTATGAAAAATAAACTATGAGTATGAAATCACCATTTGATGCTTTGGCTCTTTGGAGCCCGCTGGTCTTGAGTTGGAATCCCAGCTCTTTGAACAGTTGGCCTATTCACTCAACTCTCTAAGCCAGCGATTATCAACCATTTTCATCTTGTGGCACATATAATCTAATTACTAAAATTCTGAGGCACACCAAAAAATATATTATATTATATTTTTTGCCAATCTGACAAAAAATAGGTGTAATTTTAATGCATTCACACCGGATGGCTACTGTTGTGTTGGTTGTTATTTTTTTTTATTTGGGGAAAAATGGTCAGTGTGCCTAACTAAATAATTAAGTACAGTATTGCACATTTTAAAAATCTTGTGGCACAAGTTGAAATTGCTTATCTAAACCCTTGCTAAATGGGTTAACACTACCTACCTGACAGACAGTATCAAGATTAAATATGGTAACATAAGTAACGTGATAGGTATGCAATAAATATTAGTCTCAAATACACATCCCTAAAATATATTTCCTGTTGTTAATGTCTTTTTCACCAGGCCAGCACATTTCTGAAAATTCGTTAGCTGACAGTTGTTACAATTTAATAAATACTATATAAATTGTATTTACCGTCTCACCTCTAGGCCCTGGAACATCTTTGAAACTCCCTGGAACGAATCAGACAGGAGTACCTAGTCCAGCCGTCAGGTATGTACTTCTGTTTCATACCCTCTGCCACTAAATATTGAGCAGGCTATTTGAGAGTCTTTATTAATCCTTGTATTTTAACAATTGGCCATCATCACAGGCCAATCACTCAAGCTGGAAGACCCATCACAGGTTTCCTCAGACCCAGCACGCAAAGTGGAAGGCCAGGCACCATGGAGCAGGCCATCAGAACACCCAGGGCCGCCTACACAGCTCGCCCTGTGACCAGCTCGTCCGGGAGATTCGTCAGGCTGGGAACGGTAACTTTTGTCAGCTCTCCCGTAGACTTAGAGTCCCGTCAACGATGTTATGTTATGTTGTTTTTCCCTAATTGTTATAATGGAGGATTAGAAGGAAGATTTTTAAAGGTGATGCTTTTTTTACTTATGTTGCCTTTATAATTCTTATGCACACATTTTAATTTGGTTTCAAGAGAAAGTTTTCTATTTCTTATATTACCATTTTTCTCCATAGGCTTCCATGCTTACAAGTCCTGATGGACCTTTTATAAATTTATCTAGACTCAATTTAATGAAATATGCCCAGAAACCTAAATTGGCAAAGGTATGTATTTGAAATTATTTTATGTTACGAAGTAATGTTAGAGAAGTATTGCCCTGGCTGGTGTGGCTCAGTGGATTGAGTGCCAACCTGCAAACCAAAGGGTTGCTTGTTCGATTCCCAGTCAGGGCACAGGCCTGGATTGCAGGCCAGGTCCCCAGTAGGGGGCACATGAGAGGCAACCACACATTGACGTTTCTCTACCTCTCTTCCCCTTTCTCTAAAAATAAGTAAAATCTTTAAAAAAGATGTATTATTGTAATAACATTGTAGGAAATGGATAAGAATTTGTGACAGAAAGGCCATGTTTTGATTGAAATAAATATGTTTAATTACTGTAACATGTAAAATTCCTCTTAGTCTGGAGTTAAGGAAAGTCAATCAGAAATAAAGTATATGCAGTGTACCATTATCATAGGGAATTCTTCCTTTCCTTATAAAGAACAGTAATTTGCAGCAAGGAAAGCAGAGATAACAGCATCATCTTCAGGGAGTAAAGCTTAGGAGGTCATCTGTGTGTGTGTGTGTGTGTGTGTGTTTCTTTTTCAGTTTGGCCTATTCTCAGAAAAATAATTTTCTATCCTTGAGGATTTTAGGACTGTCAAAAGGAAGATAAAAAACATGTACTCCTTCTAATTAGTAATTAATCAGCATCTCAATAAAGATTACTCAAGCCAGACAGTTGCAAGCCAACTACATTAGTAATTCTAACTACTCAAAGATTAAATGCTCCTTTAAATTAAAGAGACAGAGAGAGAGAGTGTGTGTGTGTGTATGTGTGTGTGTGTGAGACAGAGGGAGAGAGAGAGAGAGAGAGAAAGAAAGAGAGAAATAGAGAGAGAGAGAGAGAGAGGTCAGTGACCTTTCCAGTATAAAAAAACTTGGAGGTGAGTGTGGAATAATTCAGAACTAGGAGTACTTATCTTCTGGAAACTGGTTTAGGCCTAGCTCAAAATTTTAACTGTAGTATCTGAGAGTTCATACTGTATATCGGTTCTGGGCTATTTCTAATCTTAGTTCGAATGGCATTTAACATATTTATAAAATTTCAAACACGCTAGGAAAACTGAAGATGAACATGAGCCATATAAACTTCAAGTTTAAATTGGGAAAAGAAATTCTAGTGGGTAGAAAGGGAATTGGACTATAATAATGCAGATGATGTTTTCTTAATTTCTTATTTGACAACAATGCAGTCAACTTCATGTAGCAGAATCATGAAGCTTTTCTCATTTCTCTTTCCTTTATGAGAGTGGAGTATTAAAAGCGACCCATATGGAATATCTGGTTCCTTACCTTTTTGGGCCATTTACTTGAGGTGGCTGGAGGGCTAGTTGATACCAGTGCTGTTTTCTAAGCAAGGAGTGCAATAAATGGAGGCATTTTCCTCAATTAGGTTACAATGCTTCCAAGACAGACCTTTGTTACTAGATTTAGATTGAACTAGATTTTACACGTTTTTGGTGTATGGTAGGAGTAATGCCAGGTCTTTCTATCTTTGGCCCCCAACTTGCCTGGACTCCTCAGGACTCATTTCTAATACTGGCCTACTGTTTAGGGTGTCTACGGAGGCTCCCTGACCCCTCTTAGGTGTTATAACAGCTTTTTCATGGCAGTCATAGCCAAGTGCACTCTTTTTTTTTAAGTTGTTTCCAAGTTTTCTCTGTTAATAACCTTGACATCTTTCAGAGTGCTAGCTGCTTTACAAGTGTGAATAATGTTATTATGGACATAGTACTACCAACAGATAATCTAGTAAAATGCTGATTTATCCAGATGAGTTGGGTGAAGGATTAAAATAATGGTTCTCGGCCCTTCTTGCACATTAGAATCATTCAAATAATAAGCAAAAAACACCCCGCTTTATACTTAAACTCTGCTTTGTTTTGAAATGTTTTGAAATGTCTAGATTTTCCTATGTCTAAAATATTATTAATATCATAATCACTGTATAGTGTATGTAAAGTGTATAAAGAAGTTGGTTGAATCTATTTTACGGCAATCCTAAACTCAGTTTTTCCTTAGTCCCTTTCTATTAATATAGTGTGTATAATATGAAAAAATGCTTAGTTATTTGAGTTTTCTAGCTTGTATTCTGTAAAAACAAGAATTAGTTGTAAATAGCCATATTTTAAAATGGGTAATTATGACAAATGATGGATAGACCCATTATTTATAAATCCTATGCACTTTAGAGTACCTTCTTATTTTGATTCAATCCAACTCTTGTCAAAACTGCCTTTGAATTTTGATATAATAATGGTGTGCTTTTGTTAAAATAAAATCTAATGTATTTTTGGCTTTTTTTTTCTTTGTAGGCTTTGTTTGAGTATATCTTTCATCATGAAAATGATGTTAAGACTGTAAGTTTTGACTTCATGCTATTTTCTTTTATTTTAAATTATTTGATTTTGGGGATTTAGATTCTGAAATGTTCTGTTCTTTCCTTTCTTACCTTATAAACAGAGTGAATTATTAAAGATTGGAGAAGTACTAATCCTTTCAAATCCACTGTCAGTTTCAGTGGAAAATTTTACGTAAATGTAGAAGTGGTAAAAGCTGTGTCTGTTCTATAAAGTATGTAGATCTCCATTAAAGGGTGAATGTAGATAATTGAGAATACTACATAATATGCTTGTGTTAAAGTTTATTTTCTGTAGTCAGCATTGTTGATCTATTTTCTTCTTTAATCTGTATAGTATATTAAAATAGGTTTACTAATACATCTATTCCTGGCTTCTTTGTAGTATAACCCTTCTCCCTTATTAACATTTTATGATAGAAAATTTCATGGTGTGGCTCAGTGGACTGAGTGCTGGATTGCAAAGCAAAGGGTTGCGGGTTCAATTCCCAATCAGGGCACGTGCCTGGATTGTGGGCCAGGTTCCCCAGAGGGGGCACATGAGAGGGAACCACACGTTGACGTTTCTCCCCTTCTCTTCCTCCATCTCTTCCTTCTCTCTAAAAATAAATAAATAAAATCTTTAAAAAAAAGAAAGAATATTTCAAACATAAGTGTAACCAAAAGAAATAAAAAATCAAACAATCCCGAAAATAAAAAAAGAAAATTTCAAACATATAAACGTAGAGAGAGTAGCAAAATGGGCCTATGTCACCCATCACCCCGCTTCAATGATAATCAGTCATCTGGGTAGCCTCTTTGTGGAGAATTTGTAGGTTATATATATATATGAGTTCTCAATTTGTTTCATTTTTTACATGCTAATATGCAAATGAGCAGTAAGCTCACAGATTTTGTTAAATCAAATGTAGTTAATTCTGCGGTGTCTAATGATAGTATTTCCCCTCATTTCCCTATTAGTTCAAGAAAACAGCTTTATACCCATAGAGGAAATATTCAGGAACATAAAATTATTTTCTTCAATTTTGTTTTCTGCTGACTTCACTCTATAATCTCAGGGCCTAGAATGGTGCCTGGCATACCGTTGGGGATCCAAAAATATTGAATGAAAGAATAAATGTCGACCACTATGCTATGTATGAGGAAAACTGGTAAAAATATGATATTTTTCTGCATCTACAAACCATGCAATCCAGCAGAGGAAATGGCAGTTGACAAATGAAACAAAGAGGTAATTGCCAAATTGTGAAATTGTTACCAAATGGCAAAGGGAACATATCAGAACGGGTAATTTTAGTAAAGATCCATATAATAAGCGGGATTTTTTGGAAAGGAAGGAAAATAAATGTAAAGAAAGGGTAGAAACGTGGTCCGGATGTGGAGTGAGAAATGCATAGGCCATATCCTGAAAAATGGAAGTGCTAAAGAGACATTTTAAAGAAATAAGTGTCAGGACATGATAGTAGATTTCATGTGGAGGACAAACGAAAGAAACAGGTCAAATCGGCCTCCTATGGGTGCTATGAGGAGTGGTTTTACTAACAGAAATAGGGTAATCGAGGAAGGAAGTCAGCTTGTAAAGGAGCTGAATAATTCACGTGGAGGCATCCTGAGTGTGAAGTTGTGAAAGGCCCTCCAAGAGGAGATGCCGTTGCACGTCCTGAAACATGTGGCGCAAAAATATAGGTGGGAGCGTGGGCCAGGGAGGCAGAATACGTGAGTTATCTACGAGAAGTGTTAGCGGGTGTGGGCACGAGGGAGAAGAGGACACTGGAGTTTGGGCAACCGAAAAGCCAGGCACGATTCTGTACATCAAAGTCAGAGGTACCATTTTCACTTCGTGTAAAGCGGGTCAGGGGCTTCCAGTGTGATAGATAACATCCCATCACCTTACCGACATTAAAAAGAAACATCAAATACCATTTCATTTCATAAATGAATAAAGGTTTCTATAACTGCTAGAGTATCATAAAGCTGTATCTTGACTTTCTGAAGATTACCTTCTATTATTTTTTTGTCATTTAATGAAGAGACATTTATTCTTCCATTCAGTATATTTTGAGCCTCTACAGTGTGCCAGGTACTGTTCTAGGCCCTGAGATTACAGAACGAAGCCAGCAGACAAAAATCTTTTAGGGATTCTAATTCGGATTCAGCAAGGAATAGAGACAATTAGCAAATTTAAAATATATATAAAACATCATGGGATAATAAACAATTGGAAAACAAAAAAAGCAGGAAAGCGGGTAAAAACAGATAATGCCCCGGGGGAAGATGCTGTTTTGGATGCGGTGGGAGGCAGTCAGTGAAGTCCACTCTGAGAAAACATTGAGACAGAGACCCGAATAGAGGGGGACGAGCCCTATAAGTTACATGGAAGAAGATCACACGGGTCAGAACTTTGACTGCAAAGGTCCCGAGTAGAAGCGCGTGATGGGGTTGTTTAAGGAACAGTAATGAGGCCCATGTGGCTGGTGTGAGGTCTGTGAGCAGAAAGAGTCGTAGGCAATGCATTTAGAAGGCATACAGGTCAAATCTGTTTGTAGGTCAGTCAAAGTGGTGATGTCTTTATTAATAAATTCATCTTGAGGATGTCGTTCTACACCTTAGCATTTACAGAACGTTGAGGAATATGAACTAGACTGAAAAAAAGATTTATTCTCTGCCATAACTGAATTTATAGTCTAATAGCAGACTTTAACCTGCACATGTTATGTAAGTATTATAGAATGCTTCCACAGTTCTTTATCTACACTGATTTTTAAGAATTTGATCTTAATAAAGCAACAAATTTATAAATTTTTTATTTAAGCAGGAAAACTTTTAAAAAATGAGATCTTAGCCAGATCCTAATATATAAACAGACGGAAGTGGAGCTGCTTGAACTAAAGTAGAAGTAGCAGACTAAGAACCTGGATCTTCCTTCCCCCTGCCTGCTCCATCCCCCGCACCCCCCACCCCCACCGCCCCTTCCCCGTGGGCTCCTGCCTTCAAATCCTAGGACTATTGGCTGGTTCCTAAATCAGGCTGTTTCTGAATTACCTGGAGAATTTTAACAGAATGACTCTCTGGATCTATGCTAGACTTCTTAAATCAGAGTCCCAATCTGCTAAATGTGTTGTTAATAAAATCTCCACAGGGAGTACAAGTTTTCAACCAGGATTAGGAACTGCTGCTTAGCATAGTGTATGAAAACCAATGATGAAGACTACGCTATAATGCTAGGCCTTCTGATGTCAGAACGTAGACTTGAAGGCCAGAGCTCTGTATGACTAACAAACAAGAGGGAGCGTATCTTCTGGCTCAGTGAAAGGAATCAATGAAATAAGAGAAAAATCACTTCAGATTTTCCCACAAATGTTATTTTCTGAATGGAAGAAGAATTTAGAAAATGAACAGAAAGCATGCATTTTTTAAATACCTTTTATATGTTTTGAAACTTAGCTGGAAAAAGAAAAATAAGAATTCTGTTTTTTTAACATGTTGAAGAAATCAGAGGTGCTTTTATACTAGTTGCTTTGGGGGGCCACCAACTGTCTAAGCATATGATAGTTGTATGTGTCTTATTTTTAAATTTCCATAGTTTTCAAGGAGAGATGTTGATTTTTCAAGTCTATTAGAACCCCAGCATGGTGATACCATTTTTTAAATAAAGTTTGCATATTTGGAAGTCTCCTTTGGAGCAAGAGAAAATGGGGAACACAAAGAAATGTTACTAGCTTTGCAGTAGGAGAGCCAAGGGATGTTTCTGGCATTTATTCCAGAAAAGAGTTAATATTAAGAAATGGAAAATAATATGGGATGCATTCTGAGATAACAGAGCTGAAAGCCTAAGACTTACTTTAACTGAATTGTTGGCTATCATGATTGCACTAACACTGATGAATAAAAGTTTTTTAACCTTGCAAGAAATAATAGTATTATTTAAAAAATCAGAATTCTCTTTTAACTAACAACTTGAGTTTTTATTCACCAAATCTTTACATGAGCTTTTGTCCAAATGGTTTCCACTTCCTCTGTATAAAATTCTAATTCCAATTTAGTCATTTCTTGTTGGATCTCGAATAAACCCTGGAAGGAGCAAATAAACTAGAAGACCCAAGCGAGATGCGATAACCACATGTAAAATATGAAAGCAATTAAGGCAATTTTTTTCAGTCTGCAGCAAAGGAACGTCTGGCCCTTAGAGTCACTGGAATGTGAGGTGACATCAGAATAATGGAATGAAGGTGTTTGAAGATGGCAGTCACCCAAGTACCCCAGCTTCTTCACAATCCTGTTTTCCAAAACTCTATCTGCTTTCTTGATCTTTTTCTGTTTCTCTCCATCTCTAGTTACTGTGGGCCTGTAGCTTGACCAGGCTAACACACCAAAGGCTTGATGGCTGCTGAGTTTGGAGGCATTTGGAATCATTAGATAGTCAATGAATGGTGGGGAGAGGGTAAAAACTTATGGGTTTTTAAAATGTCAACTTTGTGCCTGGTATATTAAAATTCCATTCAAATATATTATACCTCTGCTTCCCTTTAATCAGTGTTTACTTCTCATCTGCTGTCAGCGCTCTGGTCCGGAACTGCTTATTTAGGGAAAATTGGTGGGGCCATCTGGAAACATGAGCAACTTGAGTTGCTGTCTGATTTCTAATGCATGTTTTGATTGATGCTAATTATATGGTTTATTGCATTATTTGTTGTTTCTGTTTATTGTTAGGGAAGAAAACCCTAACCTAAAATGACTTGTTTTCCAAGGCTTTGGAGCTGGCTGCCCTTTGCACAGAGCACTCTCAGTATAAGGACTGGTGGTGGAAAGTGCAGGTTGGAAAATGTCACTACAGGTAAAGTTTGGATTCTTTGTGAAGGGCTTTGAAGTGGCACCATGTTTCAGAGTCTCAACTCTGATCATTTTTGATGGTGAGGGGGATGGGGGTGGGGGAGGGGCGGGGCAGGGGTTGGGGGATAGATTTTCTCATGAAGAAATGAAAACTGTGTTTTTGGCTTCCTTGAGAAAGCATTTACTTAGCAATCACATGGTGGCGCAAAGAATCACCACCTGTAGAATAATAAGATTGTAGAGCTGGGAAGGGGAAACTTTGAGACCATCCGTTCCAACACCCGCTTACAGATGAGAAGCTGAGGCCAGAGAAAGGCTGTGCTTTGCATCAGGAACCTGTTGGTAACAGACCTGGGACTGCAATCAAGTTTGCCGATTCCCACTCCACCCACGTCCTGACCCTTTTTTTTATTCCCACTGTTGCCACACATCTGTAAAGTGCTTTGAAGTTATCCTGGCAAGGCTCATAGCACCTTCGAGGTAGTTGCTATTATTAACCCTTGTCCAGATGAGGAAAACTGGGCCTCAGAAAGACAAAGTGACTTGCCCAGGTACAGATGGCCGGTATGTGGCAGAACAAGAATTTGAGCTCAGCATTTTGATGCTAGTTCTCTTACTATTTGTACAATTCCATAGTGTTTCTCTAGGATCTGAATATTCTTTCATTAATTCATTTACTATTTAAATATATTTTTAAGCTAATTAATTGGAAGATCAGAAAAGTTGTAATTCAGTTTATGAATATTATACAGCAACTTGTAAATAAGACCTGAAACTTGTTGCCTGATATTGAAATGCACTTGGAGCATTTGTGAAGTAGAGACAGGTAGAAAAATTATATTTTATAAAGACAAATGTCTTTTATTATTGAAAAACAAGGTAGACTGGTTACTGTGAGCATCCTTCAATATTTATGAACTTTAGTTTTCAGGCAAATATTGTGAGGAAAAGGAAATATATAAATCAAACCAAAGGGATGCTTTTTCTTTTACTGTTGAAACTAAGACTACTTTTCAATTAGATATTTCACATAGAACTCTATTTTTTCCTACTGTTAGATTGAGGAAGTGTTTTCTACTAAAAGGTAATTTTAGACCATTATAACATTAAACTCTTATGAGTATAATTTCCAAAGACAAGCTTGAAATTGTGAGCTTCTAAGCAAAACCTTCAGAAATCTTTAATAATTGAGGATAAGCACAACTCAGATCCCTTCTGCCATCCATATAGGATGACATTTAAATGAGTATATTTTGTCATATTATCATTCCTCTGTTTCTTAATAGCTTCTCATCTTTATTATGGATGTATTATTAATTTATTCATTCAATCACACACTCAATAAAATGTTTAATCAGCAGCCAAAGAGTTCAAGGATGGATTACCTGACAAGGTAGCCCCAAATTAGCTTCTGTCTCTTCGCTTCTACTGGCCCTTTCTCTGCAGTAGCAGGTGCTCCCTGACACCCCAGTCCCAGCCCTTGCCCTCATTCTGCCATTTAGTGTCATTTGTTTGATTGTTACATTAGCTTCTTACTTGAATTTTTTGCTGCTATTTTTTTTTTTTTTTTGCCCCAATCAGTCCTTTCTATATACACCGTCCGAGTAACTGTTGTGAAAAAACAGCTCTTGTTGGATCCTTGGGTGAATTGCCATTGCCTTTGGGATGAAGTCTGGATTTTAGGTGTGGTGTCCACGATCTTGTCTCAGTCTGCACATTGGCCCATATCTCTCACTTCCCCACTTCTTTATTGTGTCCTCCTTTTCAGTGAAATCAGAACAACTTGACATTCCCCTAACACGCTGTGTGCTTTTCTGCCTGTGTACTTATTCTGGTTGTTTGCTTCTGTCTGAAATAACCCCTCACCCTCACCTCACCCTACCTGTTAAAATCTTGTCTGTCACTTCCTCCCTGAAACTGTATTGGTTCACTCCTCCTCTGTGCTCTCAAAGTACTTTTTTTTGTCATTGACATAATACCAAACTTATTTGTGAATATGTTTTATTTCAGTCTTTATTGGTGCCTTCAGGTCATGGCTGTTACCTGCATTTTTGCTTCTCCTTACCATCATGAAGTGTGGATGCAGTTGGTGCTGCATCATGTTTATTGAATTAAATTGCAGAGGAAAAGTTGGCAGTTGGTAGGGATGATCTCTGGACTCTGACTCTGTGTTCATGAACTTGACTGATGCTTTTGTTCTACTTTCTTTAAACATGGCCCACTCTGTTGCCTTTGCTCAAGAACCCCTGTGGTAAATTCCTTTTCGAAGATACTGGAAGAAATTATGTCTTGAGGATGCAGTAATAAAAGACATATGACCCATCCTTTCTTCTTTTTCTTTGGTTTCTGGGTAGCTCAATAGCTCTGATTGCTTTTTTAAAAATTGGTTTATCCTTCCATATCCATTGTTTAAAAAAAATCAATTTCTGTTTTCATGTTCTTGTTCTATGTGTCTGTTTGTTGTAATCCCTTTTAAATCATTTTGGGAAAGAGACAGCTTACTAGATAAAAATATATATTTGCTCATGGCATATGAGGTGTTCATGGAAGCCCGTGACGAGCTTCAGCCACGTGTTTTTTAGACTTGCACGTTTAATTGAAGTTATGTATATAAACATGCTGTTTTCCCGAGCTTTTAGAGCTCTTCGATACAATTTTATAAGTACCCCTTGTAAAAGTTGTGAGACCTTTGATGAGGTGGGGACTTCTGCCATATCACACATCCTCTCATTTTAGGGCAGCTTTGGTGGATGGGTAGGGTCACTTTTACCCCCTTTAATCCTATGTCTTTCAACAGCTATTCGGAGACAGCCACACCAACGCTTGAGGCTTAGATTAGGGAAAAAGATCAAAGCTATTTTTTCAAGCCTTTAAATGAAAGTAGCACAGTGGAACATACTGTGTATTGTCCTGGCTTTATATCACAAAATAAAAGCAATATTAAAGTGCGTAAGTAGCTCTTAGATGGCTGGGGATGATTAGTTCTAAGAAAGCCCAACACCTCTATTAAGGACAGGCTGAAGTGCACTTTAATGATTGATTTAGTGGAACAAAATGTCCCCTGGGCAGAAGAGCTGGGTGTTGACATCAGGACGGCTATAGTTAGGCCAGGAGCAAATCTCTCCTTTGTAGATGAGGGCAATCAGTATCAGATACTGAAAAAGGAAAAGGAAATGTTTCTAGAATAATGAAATGGTATAGCTATATACTCAAGTGGCAATCACTGCTTACATCAAAATGGTGTAAGAATGGCTTTAAAAATGAGATCTTGTCTCAGAGCAAAAACTGTTTTCCAAGAAAAGCCATCCTTTAGCTCTTCCAGTAAAACAGAGACTCTAAGCATTTATTCAGGTCACTTGCCATGTGTCCTGATCGCACGCTCCTTGGGTGGTGAGCCGGTGTGACCTGGCTTACCAGAGCTATTCGTCCTGCTGTGACCAGACTGGCGACAGGCTCTTTATGTGGCATTTGAGGGCGAGACAGTGAATATGGGCTGATCTGTATAAACTACATGGTAATGCTGATATGTGTGTAGGACATCACCTCCTTTAGTACATGCTTACTCTTATAGATTTAATTTGTCTCTAGTCATATGCTTGAGGTATGCATAAATGCTATAGTGTTTATTTTTAAGACGAATACCTAATTTTTTAAATGGCTATTTTTAGGTTAGGAATGTATCGTGAAGCAGAAAAACAGTTTAAATCAGCCCTGAAACAGCAGGAAATGATAGATACGTTTCTCTACTTGGCAAAAGTAAGTATTCTTAGTCTGAGTGAAATCTGTCTTCTCAGAATAACTGTGTAAATGCATGGGGAGAGTTGCCCGTTTCTTCAGGAATATTTTAGCAAGTCAGTGTGTTCAGACTCCACTTATTTTCTGTTTTAGCAAGGGAAAATGTGAGACCCCACGAAGAATAACTATTTCAGGAGAAATTGATTGCCATGACAAAAATAGGAAAACCCCTTTGAAAGATTAAGCATTGGAGCCGAAGGAAATACCATGGGCTCCTCATCCCCATGGGTAACAGGTCCCATAGAGGCTGTTGGGTGGGAGACAGTGTTTTTCACAACACATTGTCTTCCACCTATGCAGACTGTACAGGACAGGATTGTTCTTATGTAGGTTTTTTATATCTTGGCTCGGCCATAATAACAAAAACAATATTCCCCCTTTCTGGACCACCTACTCAGTAGAAAGTATTGTATCAGGTCTCTTCCATGTGCAGTTTAATCCCTTAGCAACCCCACAAGGTGGGGTTCGCTATTTCCTTTGTGCTCTTAGGGAAAAGGAAAGGTGAGGAGGGTAAGATTTAAGGGTCACCTGGCGGTTAGGAGCCAGCATTCAGACCCAGGACTTGATGATCCTAGAGCCTACTCAGTGCCCCATAGTGCCACCCACAGCCACAACAGAAGTGAGGGGACTCCTAGAGTTGTCAGTATTAGGACAAAGTTACTTCTTGACCCTCACCAAAGCTACTTTAAATGAAACATTCCATGAAGTGATGGTTATGACATCATCTTGCTGTATCTCTAAGAATTTTTTCAATTAAAAAGTGTGGGAAAGGAGTTGAAAAGAAGATGAGATATAAAAGGAAGTGCTACTCCTTCCTAAATAGATTATTAAAAATTAGCATACTAAAAGGAAACAAAAGGAAAGCTGTGCTATGTAAACTTAGTGTGCTAATCTTGGTATGTGTACAGCAGTTTTCAAAAACGTTTGAAACTATCTGGTATTTATATCTGCTATACATTATATACTAAACTTAAATTCTTAAAAAAGTTTCTAAGAATCACAATAATCTTAAACTTTTCTGACAGCTTGAAATTAAAATTCAGGTCACACTATTTGATAATCTCTTGCCACATAGTTTAAAAATGTACTCTTAATTTTAACTATTGCTAAATACATGGTTTAACCTATTTTTTCATAAATTAATTCATTTAAATCCACTCTAGAGTGTATAGAGGTACAATTGACTTATTTTCTTTAATATATGAAGAAATGATTGTGAAGTAATAGAGATCAGCAGCTTTTAGGGACAGCATTATTTCTTAAAATTTTAGATGGTTAATTTAAAAATAATTATTAAATATTTTATATTACTTAGCATATTAAATTATTTATTGTATTTAAAAAAGGAGTTTAGAAATATATAAGGTAAAAGTTGAAAAATTTTCACCCATTCTTATCCCTCTAAGCTCATACTGTGGCAATAAACCCTGTAAACAGTTTTCTGTGTATCCATTTGGGCCTTCTACAAAGCACAAACTAGTTGTATAGGAAGAAATAGAGGATCCGTGATCATGAAGAAAAAAAAGTCATAATCTTATATTTCTATGCATCAAATAATTCTCTATTTTAGAGATTCCTCTTAAGTATATGGGTTATTCATACTTATGTCCTGATTGCTGATTAAGTGGATGGAAGCCATCAAGTGCTAATTCTCTCACATCCTGCCCCCACGCCTCACAAAGCTGTTTCCCCTCTATTTCTGAGGGTCCTTTTCCACAACCACATTCTCCATTAGCTCTCCCTGCTCCTCTTCCTCGGACCATCCCTTCTTCCTCTTGCATCTTCATCTTCAGTCTCATAACTGATTTTTTTGTGCCAACCTGTAGACATACTCATGTCTATTCTACCCTAAAAAGATTTTCCCTTGATCCTTGTCTAGTTACTGCTCAGTCTCTGTGACAATAGTAAGCCTACAATAAGCATTTGTTGAAGGAATAGATGAATGAAAGCTTCATATACAACATGTGGAAATAAAACTATAACATCATTATTAGAAATTAATCCTACACAATTTTTTACTGTAGTATCTAGTAGATAATTTGTTATTAAGCAATTATTATTAAATTGTCATAACAAATACTGTATTATTTTAAGAACTAGTACTTTTACTAAAATGTATTTTGGTTGTAGGTTTACATCTCATTGGATCAACCTGTGACTGCTTTAAACCTTTTCAAACAAGGCTTAGATAAATTTCCGGGAGAAGTAACCCTACTTTGTGGAGTTGCCAGGATCCATGAGGTGAGGTTCATAGTATTCAAAAAGTTCATGTAAAATTGAGGTTATGTGCTTCTTAAGTAAGCCCATAATCCTGCGGGGTCCTAAGAAGGAGAGCAATTTATAAAACTATGATTGTTGGCCTCTAGTTTGCCAACAGAATAAGGGATTTTAGTGTATGCATTTAGCCAAGCTGATGTTTTATTATGAAGATTATTTCCCCTTTTGGAATATAATGTTGATAAACATGTAAGTAGAAGACCTTGATTGTTCAATAAAAATCCTCTATCAGTATCTCTGTTTGAGTGACTCCATATTGAACACGAACAGAATTTTGACCAAGAAGCGTAGAAAGGAAGGTAATAAAATAGATCATGAAACCAGCAGCGTTCACACATAGTGTTGATCGCCCCGATGCAGTCAGAGCTCTCAAATATTCCTGCTCTACCTTGTGTACACTTCGGTCCTTCTGCTAGTCTGTTCTCCGGCCGGAAGTGCTGGCACAGAGGTCCAGAGAACAAGGGCATCTTTCACATGCGGTTGCTGGTCAGTACTCCTTCCAAGCCTCGTTGTAGCCACTGTTGCTGTGGCTGGGATGGGCTGAGGCCCTGCAGTATATCTGTAATCAGCCACCTTCTTCCTTTCCCTGCTTTGCTTTGGCCAGGAGTTGGAGGAATGTATGTTTTTTAAGTAAACAGGGGAGAGCTTTGTGAGAAAAGTACATTTTCACTTTACATTCAGAGGAAGAAAGAAGTAGAGAGGAAAACATCCTAGCTGTGGGGACAATGTCATATACAAATGGGGTGATCAGAACTAAGCAGAGACTTGAAGTAGTGGGACGCAGTATTTCCCCCTTGAATTTTTTTTATTTTAATTTATTTTTTCAAATACATTTGTCTCTGCCTACCCCCCACCACTTTCCCTTGCCTTCTCCCTCCTTCCCTCCCTCCCTCCCTCAGCTCTTCCGCTTTGGTTTTGTCCATGAGTCCTTGCTATATGTTCCTTGACTTTCCCCTTCCCTTCCTTTTCCCCACCCCGCCCCCCTTCCCTCTTGTCTCTGTTTTCCCCCTTGAATTTACAGTTAACTTCCCTTAGGACAAAGTTTACCACAAAGATTTCCAGTGTATCCTTTTTCTCTTTATGTGACAGTGGCTTTAGAGTTCATTAGTGAAGTTTGTTCCCACTGCATGTTCCTTAAGAGATTTTTTTGTATGTACATAATACTTTTCTCTTTTCCTTTGTGTTATTTTCTTTTTATTTGTCACTTTGATGTTGGCCTTGTATCTTTTAAATCTTTCCTATTTAAAAATGAACATTGTGCTGCCTATTGCTCTTTGCTTGGTTTGTACAGGAACTTGTTAAAAATGATTTATTCTTGCTAAATATATTTAGTTGTGGTTTAAATTTTTCGTGACACATTTTGTTTATTAGTTCCCAAGGCAGGTCTTTATTTGAATTGTTCTTTGTTAAGAAGTGTTTGAAATTAGAAACCTCACCATAGGAAATATTATGCTTGTGGTCCTTGACTTTACTGGGTATGAAAACGACTTTGGGAATGTCTGAGAAGTGTGGCCCACTGTCTCCCTACTAAATCAGGTGGGATGCAGGCATTTCTTTAACAAGTTCACTAAATGCTTCTGTGTTTTGAAGAAAATTTTAGCTATCTCTTCCCTTAAGTATCTAAACCTTGGCAGGACTTTGAATAAGAATTTCAAATATAAAGTGGGAGTTTGGATCAATCTGCGAATGTTTTATTGGGGTTTTATGGGACTAATAAAGAACATCCCAGCTCACTCCAAGCTGAGAACCAGCTGAGAAGTTGATACAATATTCAGACAAATGGAGAATAAACTGTTAGCTTTTTACTGATAATAACAGAATTGGAGCATGTGGCTTTACATCTGTGACCCAAGGGACTTAACCGTGTCCTACCTCTGAATGAAATGGACTAAGCCACCATGCCTGAGCTGTGACTATCCACCTTGCAGACCCCCTGCACCTGGGAGAGCCCACGCCACATGGCAGGGCAGAGAACAGGGGCGTCGTGGGGCTGGCTGGCTGCCAGAGAGACCCAAAGGGGCTGAGATGTGCATGCTGCGTGGGCCTCGTGGGGATGAGTGAGTAGGAGTGGGGAGAAAGGCCCCAAATACCGTTCTAACATCAGCATTTCTCAAAGTGCGGGCCAGGGGTTCCTGGGGGTCCTGAGCCCCCTTTCAAGGAGTCCACAAGGTCAGAACTCTATTCATAATACTAACATTGATGAGGATGGTGGTAATATTAATGGATGAACAATGAAATGTACTTATCTTTATAATGTCCCCTCAATTTTGCTACAAACCTAACACTGCTCTAAAAAAAAAAATCCTTAAGCAAACAAAGAACCCCAAAACTGAAATCTATGGAGTTTTAAAAAATTCCATATGATAAAAAACCATTGTGTGGTGCTTCTTACAATCATTGGAGTTTCTCTGATTTATTAAAATATTTTATGATTAAAATCAAACAAAAAATATGAGTCCTGCCCTGGCTGGTGTGCTCAGTGGATTGAGCACTGGACTGCGAAGCAAAGGGTCGCAGGTTCGATTCCCAGTCGGGGCACATGCCTGGGTTGCAGGCCAGCTCCCCAGTGGGGGGCGTTCGAGCGGCAAACGCACATTGATGTTTCTCTCCCTCTCTTTCTCCCTCCCTTCCCCTCTCTCTAAAAATAAATAAATAAAATCTTTAAAAAAAAATGAGTCCTTATAGCATAAGAACAAGTGAGTGGTTCACAGAATAAGTGCCACGCCAGCTGAGGGGCAGAAGAGAGCCATGGGAAGTGAAGGCATGAGGCAAATTTCCATGAGGGATGTGGCGCCTGTGTGGGCCTTGAAAGTGGATTTGAGAGCTGTGAATATTATTAATAACAGTAAATGCATTTATTTGTGATTATCAGAGAGACCCCTGTTATTCTTGCTACCATTCTTCCCCACTTTAGTGTATCCTGTGTGTAGCCACCAAGGTACTCTTTAAAAATGTAAATACAATATGTTACTCTTCTGCTCTTAAACGGCGTCCCCTCAGTTTAGAAAAAAGCCTGCGGTTCCACCGTGGCTGACAAGCTCCCGGCTGCCGCTTTGATCTCTTTTTGTGCCACTCTCCCTCTGCAGCCTCACTTGCTTCTGTGTGGCTCTCACACGTGGCAGGTGCTCCCGCCTCAGGTTCTTACAGTTGCTGTTCTCTCTGCCCAGGTGTCGCTTCTCCGGATGTGCTCAGGTCTCAGTCCCTCCTTCCCTTGAGTCCTATTCACTTGGGACCTGCTCCAGAGCCCCTCCCAGAGCAGCACCCTCCCTGTCTCCTTCCCCAGCTCTGTTGGTCCCCACATTGCGCCCTTATCCTTGCCTGACGCCATACCACATGTATTCCTTTGTCTATCTTTCCTGCCAGATGTCACCTCCTGGAGGACTGTCATTTGATCTTTTTTTGTCTGTATTGTGTCCCCAGGGCCTAGGACAGAGTCTGATACATGGTAGGCTCTTAATAAATATTCGTTGAATGAAAAAATGTAAACCAGTCAGGATGAAAATAATATCTTGGCAGTATTAATAAAATATTGCTCTCCTGTCTTGATGGAAACTAGGAAATGAACGATATCTCATCAGCTGCTGAATACTACAAAGAAGTTTTGAAACAGGACAATACTCACATGGAAGCCATCGCATGCATCGGAAGCAACCACTTTTATTCTGATCAACCGGAAATAGCTCTCCGGTTTTACAGGTGTGCTTTACCTTCAATGTGTAAAACTACTTTCCTCTGCAGTATTAGTGAAACAATAATAAAGGTGGAATGAAAGTGTAGAGAAATAATATATAGGCTATGTCTGTATGAGACTAAAAATTCAAACACCCAGATGTTTAACGAGAATTAAAAGTGACATCTAATAACCTGGAAATGCACAGGTATTTGGCACCTTGTAGGAACACACCTGGGTAGTCACCTGAGTTTTTAATACTATGGCATTGTAGGAATTAGCCATTTTCTCATTGACCAGTAACAGTTTAACAGCGACTAGGAGCATCTCTCCCCATCTCTGCTTTCAGTAGTTCCTCTATATATGATATAAAGACCTTGAAGCTGGAATGGTGATGAGGTTTGCAAAGAGCAGCAGGCCCCAGGCTCTGAGCCCTGCTGAAGACCTGAAACAGGATCCCGTGTTCCGTGAAGTATTCTCAACTTTTGTCCAAATGATTTTTCAGCCTACGTAAACCCCGTTCTCTGGTTCTCTTTTGAACATATACTTATTTTTTCCTACAGCTGGTTTCTGGGTTAATTTTTAAACCTTGATTTCCTCTTTAGCCCTTACATAACGTACAAGGAGCTAACTGGCAGCTGACAAGAGTTCTTCTCAAATATATGTTGAAACATAAAACATGATAATAGAAATACTGTCTTGTCACATGCAGCTGGCTCTCGTCCCCTGCCCTAAAGTGGGTCATGGGCTCCGCAGGGCAGCGGGGGTAGATTTCATTTGCTTACTAGAACTCACTTGTCCTTTGGATTAATGATGTGTAGAAGCCAAATGGGCTTCTTGAGCTGTGGTATGAAAGCTAAGTGGGCAACGCAGGGATCCACTGGTGCTCTTGTCTCCCTCAGTGGGAGCCCATTGGAGGTCAGTGGGGCAGCTAAACCACAAAGTACCTATAACCAAAAACAGGATCCAGTGCAGCTGGAAACTTAGGAAAAAATGCTGAACACAGTCCTCAAATTAGATAGAGCGTCTTAGGAGTTTACCTACAGGCACCAAAGCCTTATGAACTAAAAACGTGTGGGTTTTACTTTACGTGACTATTTTTTTCTTGTTTTCGTTCTCTGATAAAGCTTTTGGGGAAAAAAAAAACCTTAACATAAGCTGCTTCTGACCTTGCCTTTGGACACATTTCCCATAAACCAGGACTGTTAAAAAAGACATACTTTTGTATATGCTTTAACATATTTTTAATTGACTACAATAATTTTTATTTATATTTGGGGGTGTCAATATTATGCAATAAACTGATTTCTAAATTTGTAAAACTATATGTGTCTAAATATTTATAAAGTTGGTCTGACACCAAAATATGTGTGCTCTTTTCACAAAGGCGACTCCTGCAGATGGGGGTTTATAACTGCCAGCTTTTTAACAATCTGGGGCTCTGTTGCTTCTATGCCCAGCAGTACGATATGACTCTGACCTCATTTGAACGTGCCCTTTCTCTGGCTGAAAATGAAGAGGAGGCAGCTGATGTCTGGTACAACTTGGGACATGTCGCTGTGGTATGCTGTTCCTTTAACATAATTTCTGTTACAGCAAAGGTAGCACAAGTTAGTTTGAAGCCATTTTCAGGTATTGTAAATTCAGATTTGGTAACAGCCTTATGTAGCCGTTTAGAGATTTCTAAGAATCACCACCACTCACTTTATAGTCCCAGGCCAAATCCTCTTACACGACTCTTGTGACTGGTACTCGTTGCTTTTCCTGTGGGAGCAGAAAAGATTTATATGAAGAAAGATGGGAGGAGACAGCGGTGGGGAAGCGTGCAGATTTGTGTGTGCGGATATATGCTTTTCCTTTGCAGGGAATAGGAGATACGAGTTTGGCCCATCAGTGCTTCAGGCTGGCTCTGGTCAACAACAATAACCACGCTGAGGCCTATAACAACCTGGCGGTGCTGGAGATGCGGAAGGGCCATGTGGAGCAGGTCAGTGAGCTGCGAGAGGCCCAGTGGACGATCTTTTCTCTTTCTGGAAAAGCTGACGTGTGTCGCACCTTCACATGCTATGTAATTTAACAGGGAGCCCCAGAGCCTGGCCGGCCTGGGTTGGAATCCCAGCCCTGCCACGGATTAGCGATGTGACCTTGCACAGGTTACTTAACCTGTATCCAAAACAAAGCACTTGATTTTGTCAGGACCAATCTGCCCCTCCCTAGTCTTCACTATTTTAGGGAAATATTGCTCCATTCACAACCCCTCCCCCACCATGTAGCTGCTCAAGCCAGAATCCTAGGAGCCACCCTGGAAACCTGTTTTTTCAGGATGCCTGTCCTGCCACCGCATGTCCCCAGCGTGGTTGGTAAGCCCTTGTCAGGTGTACCTCCAAGCCACGTCCTGAACCCAGCCACTTTCCTCCTCACCCCCCTTCTCCAAGCTGCTCTTGCCTGGTTGGCTGCAGGCGTCTCCTGGCTGGTCTTTTTATTTCCACTTAGATCGGCAGGTAAGTGTGCCCTATCATCCATTGCACAACAGCCAGCAGGGATTTAAAAAAACAACAAGATTATTTTGTTACTACTTTGCTTAGCATGCTGCAACGGCTTTCTCTTTCACATTAAATGAAACCTGTACTTCAAACCTTGATCTACGAGGCCCCCCGTAATGTGGCCTCTGGCCCCCTCACAGACTACACCTTTGTCACTACCGTAGTCCCCGCTTATCCACGGTTTTGCTTTCCTCAGTTTCAGTTACCCATGTTCAACCATGCTCCTAAAATAGTGAGTGGAAAATTCCAGAAATAAAAAATTCAGGAGTTTCAAATTGCGTGCCACCCTGTGAAGCATGATGACATTGTGCGCCGTCCCCCTCCCTCCTGCCCAGGACATGAATCACCCCTTGGCCCAGTGCATCCGTTCTGCGTGGTAGTCACTTGGTAGCTGCCTCTGTTACCAGACTGGTTGTCAGAGAGAGAGGGAGAGAAAGAGAGAGACCACATTTATATAACTTTTATTATAGTATATTGTCATAATCGTCCTATTTTACTGCTATTGTTGTTACTCTCTTACTGTGCCTGATTTATAAATTAAACATTATCTTTGGTATGTATATGTATAATAAAAAACACAGACCATATAGGGTTTGGTATTATCCCTGGTTTCAGGCGCGCACCAGGAGTCTTGGTGCGCATCCCCTTTGGGTAAGGGAGGCCCTCCGCACACCTTCTGTACCGACTGCCGGACACTTTAGTTGCCTTGCTGCTCTGCCGGAGTGCCGTGACCGCCCTTCCTTTAGGGCCTTTAGAAAGGTCTTTCAGATCCTGCAGGGACTTTTCTTCTTGTCATTGAGGTCTCAGCTTAATTATCAGCTGCTTAGAAAGGCCATCTCGGAACAATAGCGTGAAGGAGCCTCAGGCACTGTCATGTTTCCTACTAGTTTTTTCTTCACGTTTATCGTTTTATTGGATATTTTCCTGTTATATGTCAGATGTCAGCTGCGTGAAAGTAGGGACCTTTTCTGGCTTCTAACTGCTGTATTTTAGTGTCAAAACAGTGCCAGCCAATGGTGGGTGCTCAGTTCCTGTTTGTGAAATCAATGGGTGATGCATGACACAGGGTAGTAACAGTGCCTGACGGTGTTTTTGTGAAGATTAGCAGATCGTCCACAGAAAGCACTCATCGTAGTAGAAGCATAGTATTGAGTGCATGGTCGACGCTCAATAAATTATATTATTATTATTATAACAAAATTTTAAAATGTAAAATATACAATATTAGTGGTAATCAAGAGGATATTATTATATCCCAAACTTTAGAGATGAAGAAACAGAAACTCAGGCAGTTAAGTAACTCCTCAAGGTCCCAGACATAGTGCGCAGCACGCCACCTGGTCTCCTAGGCAGAAAGCTAAACTTTTAACAAAACAAGGAAAGAAACCAGTTATTGGATGTTGCCTGTTTTTCACAAATTTCCCCAAAGTAATTAAAATGGATTTGTATTTTACAAACAAAAACTAACTGCTCTAAAATGGGAACTTGTTCTTGAAACTTTTCCTAGGTCCCTATGAAGCAAGTGCCTTTTGTGATTTTCTTTCTGCTTACTTATCATCATTTCTCCAGGATCCAATTGATCTGAAATGTTTTGGTAAAAGGTTTCATGATCCTAACCCCATTTCATTATTAATCATACTTCAATTAAAGAAAGAAAATAGCAAATCATAAAACAAAATAATTAATATGTACCATTTATATGAACTGGCATTTTATTTTCCATTAAAAAAAAAGATACATGAATTTGTCCTCAGGGTCACGGATAGAGGTTTGGGGTTTAGCTACAAGTTGGGGGGCTGTTTAGCAGCCTGGAATACTACTGAGTCTGTGGTTGTAATGATGAATGTATGGACATGGCATGTCAGTCACAGTCCCTACAATGTGTGATCCCCTGAGCCTGCAAAGGATGAAAGAACTGGTGTGAATTTTGTTTTCTCTGTACTTTAGAGGACAGAAAGCTTGTCATTTTCAGTTGCATTGAGTTGTTAGTTTCAGGTCAGCAGTATAATAAATACTTGCTCACTGTCATCCAGCACAGAACTTGGGGCTGTGAAATTTAGAAGCCCACTAAATCAGTCAACAGCACCAAAACTAGAATAAAAAGACTTTTTTTAACATTGAGAAGATTATATTTTGAGTTGTCATACTGATATATAAACTTTACAGGAACAGTGGTTCTCAAATAACTAAATGTACTCTAAATTTCCAATTCTCTTATTTTCTCCATATGTCAAAACATTTCAGTATTAATAGAGGTTTGGCAAGCTATAAGTAGTTAGTTGTACATCAGTAAGTTGTATTTCCTGAGGAATGTCATCTATATTCATCACAGGATCATGTTTATTAAGGAACCATCCTGGGTGAAGGATTCTTTTACAAAAATAAAAATAAAAAATCACAAATATAGTGCTGATATATGCTCATATACCTTTGGTTTGTCTTTTCTTTTTTTACACAGGCAAGAGCTCTGTTACAGACTGCGTCATCGTTAGCACCCCATATGTATGAGCCACATTTTAATTTAGCAACAATCTCTGATAAGGTATTCTCTTTCTCTATCAATTTACCATCTGACCTGTTTCTTTTTTCCCCCTCAGTTTAAAAACAAATACAGATAAATAAGGACGTTCTAATCATAACTTCCTGAAATGATTTTTTTAAACACGATTTTTATATATACATATGTCTTCCCTTAAGGGACAGTTTAATAAACTTTAAAGAACTTTATCACTGAATATTGACTAAACACCATTTTGGATTGCAGAAGAATTGTTTTATGTTTTAAAATATGACATTTAGTCATTAAAAAGATACTCATTTAGTAATTTCTGGTTTGGGAAGGATTCAGTCATTGCTTTTACAGCAAGAAAGTCCTGAATGTTATTTGTAGATCATATTGCCACCAAGTCCCTGGCATAATTACTATAAAATTAGGGATAGTGCAAGTTATTTTAGCTATGAACAACACAGGGAAAATGCAACCATTAATACTGTTACAAGTCAATTAGTATTCAAGAGCTAAAAGGAATCCTTGTCATTTTTAATGACAATAAGAAAACCAAAGACATGTAATAACTAACTTTTGCTTGGAAACCTCTAAGCAAAAGGTGAGTTTTGAAGATAAGGGAATGGCTGAAAATGTAAGACTTTTTTTAATGGACCAAAGACTTTATAAAAATGTCATTTTTTATAGCATGAACATAAAGCCGCCTGCACTCTTATTTCTATTTTGAAAATGAAATAAGCCGTCATTCCTTAGTCATCATTTTGAGTCCTTGTTAAGTGCCAGCCACTGTTCTAGGCGCTCTGCACAACAGCCTTGCAGTGTAGGTAGCCCTTACGTTTCTTTCTCTTTTTTAACTATAAGCCATGTTTGTTTGTTTTTTTAAAATTGAGCCTCTGCTATGTACCAGGCACTGTTGAAGGCACAGAAGATATGAACAATGAATAAAACAAACAAAAACCTCTACCTCGTGTGGCTTATATTCTAATGGAACCCAAGGTGTGAAAAGCTTAAAAGGCTGCTGTAGAGTCCCAGGAGCCGGTTTCGTACCAGCTCCAGACGATGCCCAGGTGTTTTCCACCACACTGTGCAAAGAAGGCGTGATGGCTTTCTTTCAGGAACATTATCAACTTTAATAATATGTAACTCAAATGAGCTATTTCTGTAAGCAAAAGACTATACTTCCATCAGAGAAAATAGTATGTTGAAAAGAAATGCTATGATTTAAAAAAGGAAACTTATGTTTTTAATGCATATTACATGTTATTAAAAACACTACCAAATTGAATTTTCTAGATACGTTTGTGTGCACACACTAAAAAGCTCTCTCTCTTTGGAAATGTACACAGGAATCAAGATACATTTAGATGGATTCAGATACTGTGTGTGTGTTTCTCTTTGGGACTGGACTTTAACATAGTTTATTGAAATCAGAGACCCTCTTTACAAACTTTTAAAACCAGATATTTTTCCCAACATTAATGTGTTAACACTATTTAAAACCTCCCAGAGCATGTTATTTTATCTTAGATACAATAGTTTCTGCTTGAATTTTCTGTCTGAAACATAATACCCTAATCAAATATGTCCTTGTGGTGCATTACCAATAGTTGTCCTAACACCTTGCTAAACCACATCGGGCTGGCTGTCTCAGCATGTTATTTTATTTTTATAAAATTATCAGTGACAGAAGAGAAAACACAGGTTTATAAATTTGTAACAAGACAGCTGTAATGGAGCAGAAATTATTTATATAATTGGTTATTTTATTTTTCTCATGTATTTTTCAATATTGAATTGTTATTCTGGTGAAAGAATTCTCAAACCCAAGTAGCATAATGAAGGAGTTTACCCTTAAGAACCCTTTGAGTTTGTGCTGTATGCAAATAGAATGTCTTATTTTGACTTCCTTACTAATGTTGGAGGTTTTATTCTGTGGCCTTGTTCTGGTATGTTTTGCAGATTGGAGATCTACAGAGAAGCTATGTTGCTGCTCGTAAGTCTGAAGAAGCATTTCCAGATCACGTGGATACACAACATTTAATTAAGCAATTGAAGCACCACTTTGCTATGCTCTGATTGTTCCTCAGACCAAATATATATATTTTTAGGATGGGGCATTATATGAGAGAGGACCCCTCCCCCCAAAATAAGGCATTATCTTCTAGGGGGCGGGTCCCTTGTAGTACAGGCTTCTCCCACCAGGTGAGTGTTCCAGGAACTCACCTGTATCAGTGTATCTGCTGATGTGAGAGGCTGCGTTTGGCTTCAGTGAGTTTTGTTCCAAGAGTCTTTCAGTGCATTTGCTCATTTCATGATGGGGAATTTAGGAGCGCACCTGCCCACACTGCGCTGAGTGTTCAGCAGTTTTTGACCAAAAACGGCATTGACCCCTGGGTTCCACCCTTACTGTTCACCTGATCTCACTTTGAGTGACCTTTTTTTCTGTTTCCCTGGAGGAAAATAGTCCTCAGAGGCAAACATTTTGCCTATGTGGAAGAGGTGAAACAAAAACCAGCAGAAGCACTAAAATGCATCGAAATCAACGTGTTCAAAAACTGTTTTGAGCAGGGAAAAAAATGCCTCGATAGGTGTATTGGATCAAATGTAGAGCACTTTGAAGGTGACTGAAGTTTAAAAATGTAAGAATAAATACACAATTTTTAATAAGTAAATTCTGATTTTGGGGGGTCCCCCCTTATATAATTGTATAAGGGAAAAAATAGTGTATGTGTAAACATATATGTATGTAATACAAACTTGTGCTTGATATTAGTGAAGATGACATGAGGGAGTTTAAATAAGGATATAAATTAAAACTTTTATAATAACTTTATAATATTATAAAAGACAGGATTTCTGCATTTGTAAGTAGATCATGAAGGGTCTTCCCACATTATATGGTAGATGTTTGTTTATAATGTTTATAAAACATTTTTATGAATTTCTTCACATTTTTATACATACATATTTTTAATGTTCTTAAGCTTGCCCTTAACTATCATGTAGCTTAAGAGACCTGAAATTTGCCTTTTAAATTGCACTTTTATGGCTAAAAGTGTGTCTGTTTATCCTAATTACAGACTTATTTAAAGCTTAAAAATTGTGTTTAAACTATTTATCAAATGCTTTGTGAGAGACTCTGCATTTTCTTATATATTCTGCTTTAAAATAAATCAGCGTGTGAAACACCATCATTCTGTTATTTTCCATAAGTTTGTGCCTCAGGTATCGCAGATAAAACAAGTCTTTCAGAAGTCCAGTAATCTTAAAAATCAAGTCATTATTTTAATTTTATTTGAAATGATGCACCGCCAAGTTGGTTTTTTCCTGAGAAGCTATTTACAGGCTATCACACTGTTAACATGAGAATGCCAGGATGAGAGATGGAGACGCGGGCCAGGAGGCCGCCTGTGCTCAGCCCGAGAAGGCCAGTGTGGTGGGGGGCGCGGTGCGGCTAGGCCCCAACGCCATGCACTGCAGACCCTGGAGAGGCTCCGGAACCGTCTCTCCTGCAGTAAGGCGCTCTCCTGCAGTAAGGCGCTCTCCTAAAGTGTTCATACCAGGACCTGTGTCAAAGGGGCAGGGCCACTTAAGTTCATATTTTGGACTTTGGGAACTGTCCATGTTACTTTTCATTCTTTAACTTCGTGAAAACTATTCTACAGATGCTTATTTGTTTCTGTTCAAATTTGTATAAATAGTACTACTCAGCTGACAGAACAAAACAGTGCGAATTCAAGGCATTCTAGCTTGTTAGGGGCTGGAAGTAACTTCCGAGAATATGTACAGAATCTCCCAGTGGGGCAGGTGAAGGACGCGCTGGTGGCACACACATGACTGGACCCCGCGATCTTGATCCTGCGCTTTAGCTTTAACCTTTCTTTGTTCTCCAAGGTATGTGAGTGCTTGTTTAGCACCATCCAATTCCTAATACTGTAGTTAATATTTAGATTGAAATTTTATAATGTGAATCATAGTCTTAGTTAATTTACAATTAGAGCTAATAACAGTGGCTAGCACTTAACTGAGGTTGATGTATATACCCAGCACTGTTCTAAGCACTTGATGTAGATTGATTCATCTAATTCCCGCTGCAGAACTAGGAGGTGCAGAACCATTTTATTTCTGAGAAAAATGAGGCACAGAGATATCAAGTCACTTGCCCAAGGTTATAAAGTTCCTAAATGGCAGAGTTGAGGTTTAACCCCAGGCCGCGTGGTCCCTGAGCGTGTGCTCTTAGCCACTGTTGTGCATCGTCTCTCAATGTTTCCCCTGTAACTAAAGCTACTATCATTTAAAATGAATGTGATATGCATTAGTAAAATTGAATAATAAGGGACTATTCATACAACGAAAAACAAATGAGTCAGTATTCCTAAGGTGATACAAGAGATATTTCTGTCTTGAATTTATGTTAATTCGGTGTGAACGCCAATGCAAAGAATGAGTCAGGATGGCTAAGGGCAGAAGAATGACATAACACTGTGCTTCAGGAGCTATCTGCGTCTTTGTAACAGAATTATTTCTGGGCTGCATAATTTCCGGTTTCTGTGCCAGCCTTTTTATAAAAGGAAGGTTAACAATTGTCTTTTACCATGGCTAAAAAGGTATTCCATCCATATACAAATTGTTCAACCAAAATTAACATCATTCAGCTTCCAACTGCTGGAAATGAGAAATGGCAAGAAGGTTGCCTGCCCTGAGTAATTGCTGAGGTTGGAACTTCTTCCCAAATATGTCACATCTGAACCAATCCCCTGTGATACTGGCCGTTCCATTACACTGCTGAATGATAGTTCCCCGGATCAGAGCACCCATCAGGGTATCATTTACGGCCTAGAGATTGGAAAATTAATCAATATAACATGTCACTACTCTTTTAATGTAGTGACCACCATCAACTCTTTATTAACATGAAGGTTTTGAACTGAGACTGAGTTTATGCATTCAGAAAAAAAAAAACAAAAAAACCCCAAGATTTTAGAAGTACTGTGGTAGGACTCAATCTTGGCATATAAGAAACCCAGAAATTGAGTTTAGATTAAAGGCCATAACCGTATAGTTTTAAATTCTAGGAAAAAGGTAAATTGGAATGGTCCATGGATAGGTTCCAGAGTTCCAAAATAGTTATCTGGGCTCAGATATTAGGGGGAAATTTTTGTTTAGTAATTTGAAAATAACTGCAGTTTTACATTCTTCCATGTAGATGGCATTAGTCCGATTTTTGGTTGACTAAAAACATATTTGAGATGCTGTCATTTTACATCCTTGATGTTAAAGCCAAATTTTTGAGATTAAAGAAAAGATTAAATAAAGATTAATTTATAATCATTGGGGACTATAATATTTTTTGCAATGTGCTTTTTTCCCCCTTACCTGAATCCTGACTAATAAATAGTAATTGGTTGGTAAAATGTATACGATGGAAACTTCTGGAGAAAGGCACCTCATCACCTTAGCAAAGAAAAAAACCAGACAAGACAGATTTTAGGAAGAAATTTTTTTCCTACTTAAATCAGAGAAAGTATAGACCTTCATCCAGCATTTGAAACTCAAGTTCCAACGGGCTTCAGAACTTCACAACCATCACGCCTCCTGCCCCACACAAGCTCTGATCTAATAGTTTCAGTTTCTTTCTCCTAGATTCATTCATTCATTCTCTCTCTCTCCAGTTCTTTTAAGGCTTCTGCCTTTCTCCCCCGTCTCATTTGTCACATCATCTTGAAAGGTCAGGTAACATTTGTTGCCTGCTTCCTCACCTCCCATTCATCCCTGTACCTTTTTGAATCTGGCTTCAGCTCCCACCCCCATGGAAACTGGCCCCACTGAGGTCAATAATACCTCCCAATCACCAAATCCAGAGGTTCTTTTTTTTTAAACGTAGCTTTAAAAATACATTATTCATATACCATACAGTTCTCTCTAGTACCATTCAATGGTGGTGTTTTAAAATAATATTCACAGTTGGTCAATCATCACTAGAATCAATTTACAAACATTTTCACCATTCCCCAAAGAAACTGTGTACCCAATTATATTAAATCTGTAGATCTCTTTGGGGAATATTGCCATCCTAAAATTAAGTCTGTACATGAACGTGGGATGCCTCAGTGGCTCATTTTTAGTCTCCCTCTCACTTGACCTCTCAGCATTTGCACGGATCACTCTTGAAGTTCTCTTCTCCCTTGACTTCAGTGCTGTCCTTTGCTGGGTTCTCCTCATACTTCTCAGCATCCTTCAATCTCATGAAAGACTCCAAATTGCCCAGTAGTTTAATTCTTTCTCTTTGTCTTGCCCTTTAAATCTTGTGGTTAGGGCCCAGGAGTGGCCTAAACACAAAAGAAGACTGTGTATAGTCTTCTCTCCTAACCCCAGATCCTCATTTCCAACTATCGCTTGGAATCTTCCCTTGGATATCGCAGAGCCATCTCAAATCCAAAGTAAAAGTATTCATCAATAGCATCTCCAAATCTGAGTCATACCTTGCACTACATACAAAAGCTAACTTAAATGGATGATAGACCTAAATGTATAACCTATAAGCGTAATACTTTTTCAAAGAAAACATAAGAGAAATTCTTTGTGGGTTTGCGTTACATAATGGTTTTTCAGCTGTAGCACCAAAAGCATGCTCCAAAAAAGGGAAAATTTGATAAATTGGACTTCATCAAAATTAAAAACTTTTACAATTTGAAAGACATAGGAGAATAGAAAGACAAGCCACAGGCTGGGAGAAAATATTTGCAAGTCTTACACCTTATAAAGAATTTGCATTCAGAATATATAAAGAACCCTCAAAACTCAGTAAGAAAAAAAGTAAAAATGGGCAAATAGTTTGAACAGATATTTCATTAAAGAAGCTATACATAGATAGGAAACAAGCACATGAAAAGGTTCTCAAAATTAGCTATTAAGGAAATGCAAATGAAAATCAAATTAGAATCGCTAAATTTAAAAAGAGAGACCACATGCAGTGTTGGTTAGCATGTGGAGCAAGTAGAACCATATATCATATACTAGTGGTGGGACTGTAAGTCGGTTCAACCACATTGCGAAACAATGAGGCAGTTTCTTTGAAAGTTAAACTTTACACCTCCCATATGATCCAGCCATTCCCATTTCTGGTTATTTACCCAAGAGCAATGATAGCATACATTCAAGAAAAGACTTGGACCTGAATGTTATAGCAACTTTATTTGTAATAGCTCCAAACTGGAAACAATCCAAACAGGTGCCCATCAACAGGTGAATGAACAAACAAGCTTTAGCATATCCACACATAGAATACTATTGAGCAACAAAAAGGAATGAACTACTGATATATGCAAGACATGGGTGAATATCAAAATAATTCTCCTGAGTAAAAGTGGCCAAACACAAAGAAGTACATGCTGTACTATTCCATTTATATAGAATTCTAGGAAATGCACACTCATTGTGCTTTCTGTATTGACAGAAAGCAGATCAGTGGTTGCCTGGGAACAAGAGTTGCGGAAGGCTGTGGGTAATATACGGAGGAGTTGAGGGGAAGGATCACAAAAGAGCATGAGAAAACTTCGAGGTGATGGATACATTCATTATCTTAATTATGGTAATGGGGTAACTCAGGACATGGCCCCTCCATCTCAGAAACAGATGGCTGCCTGGCCAGCAGCTGTAAGGAAGGATGAAAACAATCTCTCAAGGGCCTTGTGTGTGTCACGAACCTGTAGCATGAACTTTCACATGCTACTGTGGCTCCCACCCCGCTGCCATGGCTTCCTCCTTAGCCCTATTTGTAGCACCGAGACTGGAGGCGGGGTGCACCTCTCTCCCACTGGTCTGCCGTCTTCGGTGCTCTCCTCCGTAGTGTGAGCAATAAGCGGCGTGTCCACATCTGCTGGCCCTCCCGGTGTTTGTTTTCGGAGTATCGCAAGCACTTAAGCAGCTCCCTGGCTTGGAGCTCCTGCGTTATCCTGTGTCAATGTTCACCCTGTCAATCTTGTCCCATTTTACAGTTTAAATATATACAGTTTATTT